CAYWCACACAYACACATAYAYAYAYACMCACAYATATATATATAYMYAYAYMYAYATATATATATATATATATATTATCTAAATAAAAATTAATTTACCTATAGTATCACCAACGTGAAATCTTTTGTTAAAAGCCCATGACTTGTAATTCACGTGCCCAATATTAGTCCAGCCAGCAGAATCACCGACTTTATAGACCACTCCGCCCATTGTCGCCCTAATCGCCATCGTCATCACCGCCATAACCACCGCCATCATCATCTTCATATTTCCCATAAGAATTTTGATCACCACTTTGTGTTGTATCAATGAAAACCAGAAAAAAGTATGGAAAAGTTGGTATAAAATATGAAGAAAATCGGTGTATTTATGCATAATTTTGAGGGAATTATATATGGAAACAAAATTTTAATTTAATTTTTGATTCGCTAAATATTTTTCATTAATTATTTTAAGTATTTATGCCTGGTTTAAAGAGATTCTATTTAATTATTTTGGTTTTTTTAAGAATGATATTTTTGGAATGGATTATAGAATGTAGCGTTCCAAAATTTAATTCTATTTGCTATATTTGTATTATATTATTATTGGGTACTTGTGTAATGTAGACAGATAAATCTCGATCTTAATGTTTAGTTTTTATACTCTCTCTCTCTCTCTATTAATATGATACGATTTTATGTGGTTCTACGAAAAACAACTATTTTTTTAAAGATTAATTTTTCAGGGTTGGGTTCACGTGAGACCAGTCTGTTTTCGTGAGATCACTTTTTTATACTTAAAACTTCACAGCAAAAGCTATGAAGGTAAAAAACCTAAATTTTCACAACAAAAACACTGTGAAGTTTCAAGTGTAAAAAAGTGGTTTCACGGGTCTCACAAAAACAAATTAATCTTAGGTAATTCTAAGTCTAATTTTTTATTTTAAAAAATAATAAAAAAAAAACGTTGTGATGTGGTGGAAGTGCAAAGAAAAAAAAGTGTTTCATGTGTATGATGTGGTTTGTTTGGAAAATAAGTGTGACTCATTTATTAAGAATTAATAAATTAAATTATGAATAATTTATACTATATTATAAAACATTTGACAAAAACTATTAAAATCATATTTTATATATATTACTTAAAATTCAATATTACAAGTAAATTGTGTGTAAGTACAACTTATTAAAGCTCTATTTTATAAATTTGTGTAACTAACTGTACATAAATATAACCAAATATATGATAAACATCTCATTTTAAATATAAAAAAATAAATTATTATTTGGATAATCATTGAGTTCTAACAAAATACTTAGTTATCATCCTTATAAAAATGATATTGTTAAACAAAACAACTTACTTTATTATTAAATCTAAATTGAATTAAAATAAAAAAACTGAATTAAAAAAATTATACARAAAAACAACTAAATAATTAATTTAAAACTGATATCAATATTTTTTTTTTCTCAAATTTATATTTCAGTGAAACAAAATTATTATCATTTTCTAACCACATAAAACCATGTTATATCGACAGAAAACTTGAATAAAATGAAATATTAAAATCGAGATATATCTCGCTGCATCAGGCGAACACCCTTGTAGTTGTTATGAATTTATTTTACCTCGAAATTGTTTTATTTTAATTATTATTTATATTCTAAATACTTTTATAATTTTTCTCAAACGTTTTGAAAAAGTTAACATTTAAAATTTATGTGAAATCGTTTATTTTAGGATTTTAATAATGTAGTTTTATTTACATTTTTATTATAAATTCAAAAATCTAAGATATATAAATAATGAAAATTTTAAAGTAAAGAGATTTAAAGAATGTTGATTTAGCATTACAAAAAATATAATATAACAGTTTTATGAAACCATCATCAATTTCATGATTGTAGATGTTCTTGAAAATGAAAGAATGACTAAGAGTCGGTATCTGAATCGTTAAGAGGTGAATCTTGTTTAGCAAAAAAAAAGACTGCATCTTAATAGTTTCTAAAACCCTATGAATGATTTTTGTATCCTAGACCTCCCTTAACCATTCGACACTCTAATTTTATCGTAAATAATTACCAAATAATTATATTTTATTTTACATACTATCATGAGAGTCTATTAATCATTCTGACCACTTAATCATTTTGTACCAAACCATTCAGCAATTGTCAAACAGCTCATAACATATTTAAGAGTATCCACTATATATGGAACAATAATTCTTATTTTGTTACGTCATATTCAATGTATCAAACGATTTCTTAGTGTTTTATAATATATTTTCTAACTATAACTAATTTTTGTTTTAATATTTAATATTAATAATTAATTTTTACTCAATCAATTTAATTTTAAATTAGGAAATTATTTTGTATCATCACTTAATAAATTAGATATAAAAATTAAATTTAGTTTCATTTTTGGTAAATTTTCGACCATAATTTATTTTTATAGGTTGGTAACTACTATTACTTTTTTTATTAAATATTTATTTTTATTCTTTACAAAATAGGTAAATACAAGTGTTACAAAAAACAATTTTTTGTATATATTATTACTTTATATTTATCCTTTTAATAATTTATGAAATTGAAAATTTAATGGTTTTTATTAAGAAAAAAACTTAAATGAAATTAATATACTTTTTAATTATTTCTTGAAATAATAAAAGTTAAATGGAAACAAATTTAAATTCAAATTAAGATTTGATATATCCACTAAATATATTTCCTACTTTACAATATATTTAAATTATCACCATACATGGTAGACTTACTTCAAATAAGAACCATAAAAATATTAAGAACGTAAATAAACGGAAATATAGAATAAAAAAAATAACAATATGGATATTAAATTAAACATAATTTTACTTATGTTTTAATTATATCTGATACGGTTTCGACTAAAAAGTAGAACTGTAATCCATTTCACTTTTAAAAATACAGTTTTAAATGGTCGGAAACCGTTTCAAACATTTATGGGTCTCATTTAAATCTCTCTGTACATGACAAACAATAACCAAACCCCCCAAAAAAAAAAACGATTCGTGTTTATAAAAAGCCTTAAAAGACATAATTTTATAATTTAAAAGACATAAATAATACACGATAGATAAAAAACAATCATCATAAATCAACAACGATAAATAGCATGAACAAAAAATAAAATAAATAACAACTAAGCAACCAACATAGCACAACTTACTAACGTAACAACAGTGGTTCCAAGCAAACATCTAGAGTCGGTTGCAACATTTGCAACCGGCGCTGGTGCCATTGCAATTGCCTTTGGTGAGGTCAATGTGCTGAAGTTTGTGTGTGGAGAGATAGCCAGAGGATGCTTCTTGAGAACCCTGATATCGACTTTTTGTCCAGCGTCGCAGTGGCCGGGAAAGCTGCAAATGAAGTAGTAATGGCCCGGTGCCGTGATTGTGAAGGAATCGTTGCCAGATTCGTAGGTTTTCATTGACATTGTGATGTTGCATGACTCGAAACTGACATGATTCACTTGCATCACGTTGTGGTTGGTTGGGTTGTAATTGAACACTGCGCATGTCATTAATTGCAAATTTAATAATAAGCCGATATGAACCTCGTGTCTATAGTTATTAACTATTCKAGTATTCAACAAGTCAAAAGAAGTCAAACTATTAAAAAGGTATTCAACTCGACTTGTGAACAACCCTTTAGGGTAGCTCAAATAAACTCAACCTGTTAACACCGTTACACATGGCTGTTAAGACCCCTAAAATTTGTACAGTAAAAAATATATAATATATAAATATGGTTGTTAAAGACGCCTAAAATCTGTACAATAAAATATATAATATATAAATGAATTAAAAGTAAAAGTTGTAATAAATATATATAACCAAGTTTATGTAAAAAATCCAAATATCGGCTATATTATATGTCATATCAACCGGCCGATGCTTAAGTCAGTTATCGATTATCACTTATTAGAACACTTAAATGTTTGAAATATTACATCTTAGATATCAAAATGAAGGTTAAAAAATATGTTACACAAAATAAAAAGCTGAACAAAGAAATATATTTTCATAGAATTTATCCTGTTGGAGTATACAAAAAAATGATATGTTCTATGACATGGACAACGAGTTATTGTTACTAACAAATTTTATGCAAAAAGTTGATTACCGGTAACCCCAACTGTCCCACACGGAACCTAATTCCAAGGACACCGATATGAAGAGCCATTTTTTTTGACTTACTCAGTGGCTGAAGCTAATGGGGGGTATTGTATTTGGGCAAGGTCAATCCGTCATTTTACCAACTGAGTTACAAGCCAGAGGCAGTTACTAAAAATATCATCGAACGTATTTTCTTGTGATAATAAAAAAGGATTGCTGATAAAACAAACAGGTACTCACAAAGAATATCACCAACACGAAACTCTTTCAGAGATGCCCAAGTGGAATAATTAGAATCAACGAGAGTCGTCCAACCATCAGAGTCACCGATGTTATACACTTCACATATCACCATTGTCATCCAAACACCTTCGATCATCAGCATGAACATGAGATGAAAGATCGGTCTCGACATCGTTATGCGCACTTGGAATTTGTCCAACTCATAAAAAAGAGATGGTAGAAATTAGTATGGCATATTGTTTGTATGATGTGCAACCCTACCATTGTCATGCTATCCACATGAGTTGTTTGTACGTTGTGCATTTGGTTGAAAGTAAACTTCTTGTGTAACAATTTTACCAAATCCGACACCTTTTTACCAGCTTTCTGCAACTCGTAAACCGAACCAAAATTAGAGCATCCACAATAGAAATAAAAAACCCTGGGATTATGGACGGGTTCACAAAACTTTTACGCAGTGAGGACTGTTTACTTGTCGATTGTCAACTTAGAAGACAAAACATTCTTGCAGATGAACCGCTTGATTCATCCATTAGGTAGCGTTTGACAGGACTGGACATGACTAATTGTATGTCCTACATTTGGTACGACTAGAACAGGACTGGACTAATTGTAAAATTGTAATATCAAAGTTTAGTTCCATGTTGTTCCACATTTTTTGGTGGAACAAAAAAACTTATGAATAGTCCCATGAAAACTCATTTTCGTCTCATGTTGTCCAACCTTATTTTTGTCCTATAATATGCCAAACATGACACTATTTATTTTGACCCGTCCCGTCCCACCCAGTATGCGTACCAAACGCACTCTTAGTAGCTCCACTTCAATTTTATACTACAATTAAACAGAAATTTGTTTTGTTAAGTAAATTTTATATATTGATTATAATAAATCTGGCATAACAATTAATAATCCTTTAACAATTGAATATTCTTATTGTGGTGATATTTATGTTTATTACATTATTATTAATTGTATATTTAAAAAATTATTTTTCTAATAATATTTTTAAAATCAATAAATCAAAACCGTAGGATCCATTTAAAAATCATGAACCAATCAGAAATTGAGAAATAATTTGACTTATATGTTTATGACAAGCATAGGAAAGAGAAAACTGATTTGATAGTCATGAATTGTACAATCCCACATCGGTTTATATAAGGGACTAAATACATTCTTTATCAGATGCGTTTTATAACTGTGAGTCCAGATAGGGACAAAACAGACAATATATGTTACAATTAGTCTGCGATTTTACAAATGTTATGACAGCCAAGGAGGTGGAGTATAAGATCCATATCGGTTGGAGAGCGGAACGAATGTTGCCTTATAAGGGACTGGATACCTCATCTATAGAACGTGTTTTAAAACCACGAATCTAGACGTGAACAAAACGGACTATATCTAGTAACACGATATATACAAGTGTTTCGTTTTGCTATTGATGAATTGAAAATCTTTGAAGAGACAAAACCATCATTGGTTAATAGTCCATACATTAAGATACATATTTGCATACACAATATTCACTCACTCGAGTCATGATCGCGGTGCTCACCACTACGAAACTTTGGCTTCGATACGAAAATCGCAAGGCGAAGATGGTCCGATCGGAAAGTTTTCCAATGACCATGGAAGGTGTTACTTTGTGACAACAGAAGCCAACTTGAGATTGATCTCTTCTTTTGCTTTAGAATCGAAAGGTTCGTCGCCAATATAAAGATCCAAAATCGAGCGACATAAGAGTTGGCTTTGGACACTTCCTACCTCCTTGCCATCGACTATGCAATTTCAACCAAGCTTGGTATGAGTACAGAGTTTGTATAAACATAAAAGATGCATCTTCATGTAAACTAAGAGCAAAAGGACTTTCTGAACCTCAAGCAAGACGGTTATATACGCATGCAGGACAGAGCAGGACTGGACATGACATGACTGGGTGGAATGGGTGAGGATGAGGCAGCTAGGTAAAAGAGAAATATGAATGGTTTTAGGGTTTTAATTTGACATGGGTAATTTAGTAATTTATCAATCTTGTTTCATCTTCATGTTTTTGTTCCACCTATTATGGTTAGACAAAAAAATGCATTTTTGTCCCACTCTGTCATGTCATGTCCTTCCTGTCCCAGTCTAATGTCGCAGTAAACGTGGGACAAGAAGTTTTTGTTCTGTTTTGTCCTGCATACCAAATGCACCCTAAAAATCATGACTAAAATTGCAAAAAACAGTACACTACACACTACAAAGATTAGTAATTTCGGACAAAATGTGTTAAAATCGCCGGTCTTTTTTGCCTTTGCATTTCCACTATTTGTCCAAAAAGCCATTGTGATTGGTACATAGACGAGACGAGACGAGACATGACGGACGATAATGAGATAGGCAGGTGAAACAAACAATTGTGGAAGGTTTTAGTTTTTCTTTTTAATTTTTGACATGGGTAGTTTAGTAATTTACCAGACTTGTCCCATCTTCCCTGGTTTTGGTCCACCTGTTTTAATGGGACAAAAAAAATGCATTTGTTGTCCCACTCACTCCTGTCCGGCCTAGTCTCGTCGAACCAAACATGAAACAAAATTATCATATTACTTGTGAAATTGAAATATGTAAACTTACTAGTGGTTCGAAGCACATATCCCTTTTCCTTCGAGAGGTCGATGATAGATCCACGAGGAATCTTGTATTCATCGCTAAACTGAGAAGTGAACCTATCACATAGAAATGACGATTATAACAATCTCTCGTATACGAGAATTTCCCCAAAAAACACAAAGAATATAAATAGAGAAATCGATTACAATGGATTCTTTCAAGGTGCGGTTCGTACACGGACGTGACCGGATAGGATTGGATGGACGAGATAGAGGTAGGCAGATAAAAGAATTATGAAAGGCTTCGGGGTTGTAATATGACATGGGTATTTAGTAATTTACCAATTTTGTAACATAAGCATTTTTTGGTCCTACTCACGTCCTACCTATCCTATACTATCTGGATCCGTTTGTTATGCAGACGGGACAGGCAGGCAAGTAAAAAATTTATGAAAAATTTTAGGGTTTTAATTTGATATTGGTTGTTTAGGAAGATACCAATCTTTGTTACATCTTCCTGTTTTTTGTGAGACACCTGTCCTGCCCCAATCTAGATGTCGTACCAAACGTGGGACAGGTTTTTGTTCTGTCTAGTCCTGTCTCTGTCCTGTCTCGTCCTATCTCATGTACCAAACACACCCTCTCAGTCTAATATTGCACCAAAGATGGGACAAGAAGTTTGTGTAATGTCCTGTTTTGGCTTATCCCCAGGTGTGTGTATATATAGAGTTAGGTTCCGGCGAGAATGGAAGTCACGGTGAGAAGGGTAAGAAGGGATCACCACCATTGGATCAATCCTAATTGAAGATCAATAATAATGAGATGAACCGGATCAATTCCCGTATCAAGCGCAATTCATAGGGTGGGGGTGAGATTAAAAGCAATGAAGGGTACATATCCCTCCTTTACCCCTTCTTACGCTTCTCACCTTGACTCCTATTCTCACACAATACTTCGTCTATATCTATAGATAACACATTTAAAAACAATCTATCCTATTTGTACAACCATTACAACCCTGATCTAAATCGTCCATTTTTTTTTATTTTTTCAGTTTTTTTTAAAATCGATAATATGTAACTACCTTTTTCACCTCATCAAATGCTGACCATAGATGAACTAATTGATGGTTAAGATGAGGTTGCATTGGTTATACAAATGGAATAGGTTGTAACATAAACCACCCCTCTCTCTCTCTTTCTATATACACACACACACACACACATAAGATTAGGTGGAGTTCCAACTGAGAACAACTTCAATTTACGGTAACGGCGAGAAAGCTTCATTTAAGCCCTTCCCTATAACACTATTACAAGTGAACGAAAGAACAACTTACTTTTGAAGTAACTCTTTATTTTCGGATCCTCCAAACTTCTTTAATCTGCTTCCAACTGAATCCTCGAATGCGTTACGAACAGAACGAATGCTAAGTTTTCCATAAACTATTTGGAGCCTCACAGTAACACTTATATCACTTTCCATCAAATCTTGAGTGACTTCCTTCTGCTTCAGTTCATTAGTTAAGAGTGTCCCATATTTCTCGCTTAGAAAATTCTTGATATCATTATCATCAGCATAAACACCTAAAAGGAAGCCATTTTTCAATTATGTTGAACTTTTCAACCAATTCTTAAAAGACTGCAAATAAGCAGCTATGCTAGAGTAGATAAATTGAAGATTTAGAAACTCTTTTTCTCCAACAGCTATGCTAAAGTGTTGCCAAAATAGATAAGAAAAAGAAAGAGAAGGAGAAGGTAGAAATCTCCAAATTTGGATAAATTTCTAAAACTTAGGGGCCGTTTACTAAACACTTACCGGGAAGACACGTACCGGGAAAGCACTTACCGATATCACTTACCTTACCGATTGAGCATGAAAAGAACCAAGAATCTTACCCTGTAAGATGCATAGCAAGGACCGAGAGTCTTACCCATTAAGTGAGGATAAAAAACCTTTTACCCGGTAAGCCAAGTCTATTTTGATGGCCGAGAATGTTACAGGATAAGGTGAGTGAGGGTGTGTCTCATGCCGGTAAGCACTAAACGGCCCCTTGATATCAAGAAGAGAGATATTATTTTAATTGATTCCACCAACGAGGTTGAATGTGTTATAATTTTTTAAAAAGTTCCTTTTTTAAATTGTATTGGAATAATGAATTAGTTGAATATTTTAACAAGTGCACACTACTTTGGATATTGCAAAGTGTGTAATTTTGTACCCATTTTGACCCGTAACCTACTTATCTTGCAACATTTGATAAAATGATACCCGTTTATGAAAAATTTACGAAAGGCTTACGGTGAAGTGGAGAATGAACTTGACTTCCACAAAATCGAAATGAGTAAAATTTTGGAAATTTTGATACTTGTTATATTAAATAAGAAATTTTGAAACTTTGCTGCATTAACCACTTGGGTTGTAGTACACCGGTTAAGGATTAAGGAGATGTACCCTGGGTTCGAATCAAGGTAAAGTCAAAGCTCTTGTGACCATGGAGGTTCACCAGCCATAACTCCTGCAATTCATGGTTGCCTGGGGTCATCGTGTGGGCGTAAACTGACCTAGAAATCCATGGTTACCCAAAAAATAAGATAAAGAAATTTCGATATTTTATTACAATCGATTGCCTTTTGATGCATTTGCCGATATAAAAACTATTGTGTTCACAAGAAATTAAGAAAATATCATAGGAATTTTGGCTTCAAGTTTTCAAAAGGTTGACATCTGCTTTCCAAATTGAACATGATCTTCCATTAAATCCTTCAATCTATGAAAATTTTGAAACGGAAAAACAGCAAATATAGGTCAATCTACATTGATCGAATTGCAGGGAGTTAGTTGATGAATTGGTGAACTGATCAAACTACACTGATACAATTGCAGCGTGGTAGTTGATGAATTGGTGAACAGATCAAACTACACTGAGACAATTGCAGCGTGGTAGTTGATGAATTGGTGAACTAATCAAATTACGCTGATCCAATCGAAAATTAAATGTTCTATCTTAGGTTTCCGATCACTGACTTCGAGGTTAAGGAAGGAACAAATGCACTGAAAATTCATGTAATAAATATCTAATTGAGAAGAAAATATGGAAAATTAGTTTACCGAAGGCGTAAACATCGATGTTCTTCAGTCCAAACACGGCCTTTCTCCTCAATCCGATTCCGAGAAGTCCCTGAGAGTCCTTCAAAACTGCCGGAAACGAAAAGCCGGTCTTTGATTCGGTGACCACGGCAGCGGAGGAGTCGGACAGCGATAGTGAACCCCATAGTGGTGATGAGCGTGAGAAATTAGAAAGGAAGGAATTCAATGCGCTATGAAGAGATGGATTGGTGGAGTTCTGTGAGATGGAAATGCCAGCAGAAATGCCGGCGCCGATAGCGGCGGAGACAGCGACGGAGCAGGCGATGGATCCTGGTGAAAAGGCGCCGGAGGGGAAGCGCGTGGTGGCGGGCTGAGAAAACGAAAACGGGAAGCGCAGAGACCCCATTGTGTTCTCCGGCGAGTTTGGTTCTTGTTGGCTCGGAATTCATCAGTGTATTTGTTATCATTGATGATTATTTATGGGCTTTGATTGGGCTTTTGTTTTGAGAATGGGCTAATTGTAAGCCCATTATAAGCTATTATAAATTAGAGATGGCAAAAAATCAGTCTAAGACCTATAATTGTTTTTTGTAACTGATCGTGGTTCTCTCCATCCTCTATTGGATCTAGGTCGGGCTCATTTAACCATCTCCAATCTCCATTATAAATACACATGGCTAAGTTGGGTCCAACCCAAAACAAAAGGACAGGCCCACTCCAGGATCGGTTAGTAACTGTTACTAACTGATGGTTTGGAATAGGTTACTAAGGTGGTTTTTGGTTTATTAGAATCTAGCAGAGTTTGAAGGAATTGGAAGGATTAATTATAACCAAATTTCATTAATGCGTTTGGTTTATTCTGTAAGTTTTGGTAAAGAATTCAAATTTCACGTATGATGAATGTAAGCTTATTGGGTTCTAGAAAGGAATTCCAATCCATTTGTACCATTTTTCAAAACAAACTATTAGCATCCCACCAAGGTGGATGACACCATCATCGCAGCCATCACCATCATCGCCTTTGCTGCCAACGTCATTGTTACCACTGTTACCTTTGCCCCCACAACCATCATACCAATCACCACAACCACCTATGTCATCAACACCATCGCCACCACAATCACCACATGCATTGCCACCACCACCACCACCCTATTATCATTATTATATTCAACGAACCAAACAGACAGATTTTATTTCAATTCCTATGTCAAATATGATTAAATTCTATTTCAATTTCTTCAAATTTAAATTCTGATGGATTACATTTTATGAACCAAACACCTACTAATTGTATGATATATACGTAATTTTAAACTACGACTACGAGGGTGCTTTATGACATGCTGAATTATGAAGGGGAAGAAATTACAAAAACCAAAAGTAGAGGGCGGTAATAAATATTTATCCTTCAAACTTTATAGATCGACGGAACCCTCGTCTTTACCAACGAAACTCTCTTCACACCGTCGTCACACTACCGGAACGAGCGAATAAACCCTGGAATCGAATCGCCATGGATATCCTGAAGCAAGAAATGCTAAAGAAAAGGCAAAGCCTCTCCGAAAGCACAGGTGGACGGAAGGTCTTCAAGCGTTCAGAGATCGAACAGAAACGAATCCAGAAGCTTCGTGAAGAAGAGAAACGGGAGGCCGACGCCAAACGCCTCCGTCAAAGTCAGAATCAAAATCAATCGAATTCATCTGATCCTAATTCTTCATCCAACCCTAATTTTAAACTCGATTCCGCAAACTCCAAAAACGAATCCGGCGCCGGTTCGTCATCGAAACCCTTAACAAGCGACGAACAAAAGATCGATGCGCTAAACCTACCGAAACAAGAGGTTATTCGCCGGCTCCGATTTCTAAAACAACCGGTTACTTTGTTTGGGGAGAGTGACGATGACCGGCTTGACCGGTTGAAGTACGTTTTGAAGGCAGGGTTGTTTGAGCTCGACGATAGCGACATGACGGAGGGGCAAACTAATGATTTTCTCCGTGATATAGTTGAGCTGAAGAAGAGGCAAAAGTCAGGCATATTGAGCGAGCGGAAGAGGAAGTCGACGGAGGAGTCCACAGAGGATAAGGATGGTGGGGGAGGTGAAGATGACGTCAGTGGGGATGGTGGTTCATCAGGTATAGACCAAGATAAGGATTTCAAACGTATGAAGGCGAATTTCTCGGAGCTGTGTGATGAGGATAAGATTCTTGTGTTTTTTAAGAGGTTGTTGATCGAATGGAACCAGGAGCTGGATGAGATGACTGAAACGGAGAAGAGGACTGCGAAAGGGAAATCAACATTCGCTACTTTCAAGCAGTGTGCCAGGTATTTGAACCCTCTGTTCAAGTTCTGCAGGAAGAAGGTATATGCCATGATCTCTACTTACGATTTCAAATTTCATTTAAATAGTACAGTTATGTTGATTAAAGAGCCTTTACTTGATAATCTTGACTTGATATCTCATGGTTGTTTAAAAAACCTTCGCAATGCATTACTTGATCCCCCCCCCCCCTCTGACCCTCCTTGCTTGTACTTTAGCATCACAATCCTTAAGAATTAATCGTGTTAGATGAAGGTTCTGTTTGTTAACACCAAAACGTGCATTATGCTTGATGAGACTTGCAATTTATTCGGTCAGCTATACAATACTGTCGATATAGAAAGTGGCTTTAAGCTTCTAGGGGAGCTTTACGTAGAAAGCCAAGTTTTTTCCAAACATGCTTCCATTTATGAAAAAACCACCCAAACAAAAATCTTTCTTATCTATACACACAAATTAGTCCACACAGACAACTTTATCCATAGAGGACTTAATGAAAAACCAACCAACCAGGCCCGAAATCTTCTTAAGCATGACATGCTTCTAGAAAATTTACAAGCAGTCTTACATAGAGCGTTAAGTTGTATATGATGACTAGCCTTGTTTTGTCGAACGCTGAATTTTTGCTGCATAATGAGTTGGTCCATGTCTTGTTCAAGTTGTATATGCGTTCAGTACAGGCATGTGAAATTTTGCTGAATATGTCAAGGATGGGAAGGATAGTGTTATATTTTGCATTTGTGTCAGGTGTGAAATCACCATTATATAAGGATTTTAAGACCATGGTAGGGTTTGTCTTAGCATTATTCTAATATTGAACCTAATATTATAGCTAGCTCTTTAAGTAAAGCTTGTATGTACTTATTTCTTGCTTTTAAAGCTGATTTGTTACCCATCATCATTAGCGAGTTGTTAGTAAAGGGAGTTATGCTGGGGTTTTGCTTACTGTTTACATTATTGATGTTATCTATCTTGGAATTGGGACCCATCTTGTTGAAACAACTCGTAGATATGTGATTATGAGGCATCACATTGAAGTGTTCTAAATAGTATTCAGTGGAGGTAGGCGGCCAGGTGACCTTCTAGCACTAATTGTCCAAGCAAGGATGAAGCTTTTCATAAATATATGAAATACAACTCATTATGTGAAGGTAAGAGTTAAATATTGAATAATACCTCATTTTGGTTTAATTACTTTTCAAAATAACAAGTTTCATTGTTACTGGTACGATTATGCATAAACGATTGGAAATATTACCTTGTTGAAAAAAGTTGATTGTTGAATACAAGTTGAAAAGGTCGGTTAATCCTTCATTATCTGCGGAAGACAATCCAATAATTAGTTGTTAATCAAAGTGGTTGAGAGGCTTAAGTTTAGGGGTCATTAAGTGGTTTTAACTTATAATATTATTATCATCATTTTAAATAATAAACGGTAGTTTAAATAATTTTACTAGTATTTATAATTCCTTCTAAAAATATGTATTTATAACCAAGCAAGAAATTACAAGAACATCATTAAAGGATAATTTTGTCATTATTTACATTCCAATTACAAAACTAATGCAAACCAAACAGAAAGTTCAAAGGAATGGAATTAAGTTCCATTTCGTTCTCTGTCAACCAAACGTGTCGTCTCACACTTTCACCAAGTTCCCTTCCATATCAATTTCTTATATTTTAATTCATTTGGCAAATTATCTTCCAAAAATATTTTGTGAACCAACGCCATCTAAGGGTTGTAAAGATGCATTGATGCTATTGAGTCAAATGCCTCTTAGCTGTAGTATACTATAGGGCATCTTTCCTCAAAAAAGGAAACACTAAAAGGCTTGTGGGACGTCCCAATTAGGAAAATGTTTCAATTACTATAGCATGCTGACATATGGTTATTGTTTATGGCTCAACGACCCATGCGGTCTTGGTACTTTGCTTATTGGAAGTGCTAAGTAAACCCTCATTCTTCTTCAGAAGGGACTTGGATTAAAGGATTTGCCCAGTACCTTCAAAAAGAAGTGTGAAAGAGTTTGTGAGATATGTTTTCTTGTAGGTTGTGCACATAAACCCGAAGTATCCTAAGAATCAAGAAGTTCGTAGACAATGCTACAAGATATGAGTGAATGCTATAATACATTGGATAACCTTACAACTTAGTCAATTTGAGTTTTCAAGTATTTTGGTGTGTACTTCGTAGAAGCCTTGTTGGTGGTCAAGTAGGTATCAAGTGTGCTTCCGTAAAGCCTTGATTCAGAAAACCCCTTGTGAACCATCAACTAAGCAGCAAGTGACAATGGGCTGAGTAAAAAATCTGCATTCTCATGGCTGTATCATCAGTGATGCAGGATATGGTTGAAAGATTGTAGAGTGGGTGAAAAACTGAAAATCATAGAACAGTTAGAAGAATAGAGACAGAACTTACCATCTAAATCATCTGATGCATCGGCCCTGAGAATCAATGTTCACAAAAATAACCAATTCATAAATGATAAATCACTCTTATAGTCTTATATCATTAAGATGGGGATCAAAATATGTCGTATGATATTCTGGAAGTTTAAATTTATTAGAACTTGATACACAGTTGTAATGAGATTCAACCAATATAATTGCCATAGAATATTGTAGGTTCCACCGCCAACCTCTAGGGTGTTGAACATCCTTACTCCATCTACTCGTCTAGGGATGTCATTAACTATGCTGTTACAGCGGTGAAACTAGAATATGGGTCAGGACCGTGATTTGATATAGCGGTTATTGCGATGGTAAAGTGGTGGTATACGGTCCTTAAATAGCGGTTCATGTAATCATTACAATTATATATAAATGTATGAATGTATGCATAAGACATGACATAACATAATATATATTTTGAAGATGAACATAACTTCTCTAAACCCTTTAAAAAGGCCAACTGAAAGCCCAACTTCTAATTGCGGTTTTCACACCGCTATTGCAAATCAGAATTGCTGCCCAATTGCGGTGATTAGTTCCACTGTTAGTGGAACTGCTATTTCCCCTAGGACCACTAACCGCTATTGCACCGCAATTAACAGCATACTCAGTAAAAGCCTATATTGTCCTCTCCACTTGTAGACTCGAACCCACCCGAAACCGGCGGGTTTCCATATCCAAAAACTTGATTTTCGGGCTATATCTGCCGATCGGGTTTCCGGTTTCGTCACTCGACCCGACCTGTGCTCATCCCTGTGACTATGCATGCCATTTTATCATGTCGTCTATGAAATGTTTCTCGCTAAGTAGCATCTCCTAGATTACTAATTCTCATTTGATGATCATTCAAGCTTATGCAAGTGTGAGGGGCATATGCATCAATGATATCCGTAACAATTGCCGCCACTATTTTTTTTATTTTTTAGCCTTAATGACATCATTTTTTGACTTTTATTAATTATATCGCCTACCACATGCCTGGTCGCTTATTTCCCTGATTACAGTCACTTAAAACCTGTGCCCTCAACTTACATGGGCTCGTTTAATTTGGTTCAACTCATTTTTAATGATTGGTAGGTTCTGCCTGATGACATTCGGCAAGCACTAATGCTGGTGGTGGACTGCTGCATGAGGCGAGATTATCTAGCCGCAATGGACCATTACATCAGAATGGCAATCGGAAACGCACCCTGGCCAATCGGTGTTACTATGGTTGGCATTCACGAACGTTCGGCTCGTGAAAAGATTTACACCAACAGTGTGGCCCATGTCATGAACGACGAAACGACTCGGAAGTACTTGCAATCGGTTAAGCGATTGATGACGTTTTGTCAACGACGGTATCCGACAATGCCATCAAAGGCGGTCGAGTTCAATAGCTTAGCAAACGGTAGCGATTTGCAGGCTTTGTTGGCAGAAGAGAGAAATAATGCAGAGCAGCAACAACAGTATTCTGAAGATAGGCTTTTACTAATGCCAGCCCCAAAGGATGGCTAAGCCATCATATATCGCCTCCATGTGTTATATGAAACAGTTTGATTTGTATTTGGGTCTTTTAAAGAAGTTGCTACTTTGAGTTATGTTATGTTGATATATGATCCTATCATTTCTTTCAACTTTTTTGGACTATTTTTCTATTTTTGGCACAATTTTTAGAAGTATGGACCTTCATGAAAACGGTCGTTTTACACTTTGGGGGTGGTAGAGGTTACGTATGATTACATTATATATCTGACTTTACATTCTGGTGAAGTATATTGGGTTTGTTTGGTTTAGTTTTTACAAGGGCCTTGATTGTACCGAGTTATAAAAAAAGGTACTATTTTTTKAGTTAGAAATTAGGATGAAGATATATGGTTAAGTTCTATCTTCAAAACTTTTCGGGGCCAACTTCTTTGTTTGCAATTTTAATTTTTTTTAAGACATGGGTTTTTACGAAACAATAGTTCTATTATTTGAGGTAAAGGCTATGTTTGTATATATTATACTCCCGGACCCCAAATCGGATCACATATCCAATATAGTTGATCTTCCACTTCTATGGTAATTCTTTTTCGAAAACTTTGTAAATAAATATATACTTCATCAAATGCTATACAAGGATCTTCAATACAAGGTTTTTATAGGAAAAAAGATGATGTTTTTTACAAGAACCTTTGAGAGAGTTCTTATAATAACAACTTCACGTTATTAAAAATCTTATACAAGAATCTTGATTTTTATCTTGAAGTTTGTGTGATGTGAAGTGACGATTTTTTGGTTTTTATAAATATTTTTCTTGAATCTATATTAGATATTTATATATATATATATATATATATATATATAATTATTAATGTTGGAAAAGTATCTGGAACCTACAAAAAAGGTTTTATAAGAACTATTATTGTAGCATATCTAATAAACCCATTTTTTGTATTGTTTTTCTTGCCATGTCATTTTCAACTCACCAAATTAGTAACCTACATAAAACTTTACAATGATAGTTTTTATAAGAACTCTTTTTGTAGGTTCCGTGAAAAATATAAGCTAAATAAATATATTCATGTTAACAATTTGCCACTTCATGCTAACTCAAAGTAGAAGAGGTTCTTGTAACAACTCTTTACAATAATGTTGGTTCTTACAAGAAGTTACATTATTAAAGAGCTTTTGGCCTTCTAGAAGGTTAGGAGTTCAAACCTATCCAAAATTGAGGAGGCTCCGTGAGTTTATTTGTTGCATTTGTCGTATATAAATACAAGAAGTTACATTTTTACTTGTAAAAATCTTGCATCGTGATTAATTTGATGAGTTTAAAGAGTGATATAACAATAAAAATGAGCATCTGCAACTGAGGTTACCTACCTTTTGTACATTTTTTTGCCACATCGTTTCCAACTCATAATTTAAGAATCTATATAAAAATTTACAATGAATTTCTTATAAAAACCTCTTTTGTGGATCACATGTATTTTTTCGACGTCAATAATTAGTATATCTTAAATAAATATCACATATAGACTTAAAAAAAACAAATATAAACTCATACTAAAAACTTTATTCTAGAAACTCTTATTACTACTAGTTCTCGTCCATTGACTACAAAATAATATCTAATGTAGTTTTCAAAGTATCACGTCGATGGGCGGACCTACCATGGTGGTTATGGTGACACGTGTTATCGTATTATTTMTCCGTCGAAGAGTAAAAMAATTTAGGTTCGTGAAATGTGCAATCGTATTAATCTGTTGTATGCCAYCATATGTATTTTGGAACTACAATGAGAACAAGTTTTGTTTGATAGAGTTGGTTTGCAAGACTTTTATTCAATTCCAGACCTAAATTCAAATATTGTTAGTGTCATTTTCTTAGTCAAATAATGACACCGATTGAAAAAAAATCGTTTATTTGTTTCTTATAGTCAACCGGTGCTACTGTTTGAAWTTTTTTCCCTATAGCTTTTTCTTACAGTCAAATGATGCCACCGTTTGAAATAAATTATAGGTCCGTCCCTGATCACGTCAACTTTAGAAATCATCTAGAAATTATCCTTCATTATAACAATTTTTATCAATTTCTTAAATGACACATCATAATAAAAACTATATTTTTAATCAAATAATAACAAAACTACAATTAAATATTCTTTGTTATAACTTAATACCAAATAATTCAATAGTTAAATAAGTATAATAGAGTAAAATAATCAATTAAGCAAATTATTTAATTTAATTTATAAAAATTGATTTAATAAATAAATGTTTATAGTTATACATTAAAAAATTAATTTTTTAATGTTTCGTATACTTTTAATCTATTTACACATATTTAGAGTTAAATTTATAAGAAAATTGAATATTATGTTAAATTTATAATCTAATAAATAAAAAAGTTATATCAACATTAATTAACGATCAAACTAATTATATATTTTTTGTAACGAGAATCTCACTTTATAAATTATTCATATATTTTTTATATGCCATAATTTCTTATACTATTCATTGCCACATCAATAAAACGAACGGATGTAACATTTATCAATTATCAAAAACAATTTCTTACAAAAATCATAAGCAACATATAGACCTGTTCATGACAATTTATAGACCTTGGACGAGATGTAAAAATCATAACTCATAAGCAACACATAGACCCGTTCYTGACACTTTATAATTTCTTATACTATTCACCACCTCAGCAACCACCGTCTATCACCACATCCACAACCACCACCATCCATAGCCCCTACAACCGTTGGCCATCTCCACCTCCTCCACCATCTTCACAAAAAATCGTTGGTCACCGATTACCACCATCCATTGCCACCACCACTACCACCATTGGCCACCTCCATCTCATCCTCTATTACAACCTCCTCCACAACCTCCACACACATCGTCGTCCACCGACCAACACCATTCATCGCTACCATCATGGGTCACCTCACCTCCACCGTGCCTTCACCAATTGACAATGATCTTTCAACCCGAATAAAACATAATTTCTCCTTTGTATAAATCTAGTTTTTTTAAACTACCATTAATTATATAAAAAATTTCATTCAAATATATATTTATGTATATGAAAATTATGTAAAAATATTTATAAATTAAATTATTTATATTAATTATATCATCTCTAATCCTAATGATATCAAAAATTAGATAGAGATTAAAACACTTTTTATATAATAATCCGGTTATAATTAATAATCATTATTTTCTTTTTCATAAAAGAGGATGGGATGGGTTGGGATGGGAAGGTAGGAAACGGAGGCATCCAATAAACACCTTTCTATCCGTGTGACCAATCTACACCTACACGTACACCATCCTCACTTCCACGTGTCTCTCTCTCTCTCTCTGTAAAACACACACACACAGTAACAAAACCAAAACCAATGGAGGATTCCCTTCTCTCCTCCTCTTCCATGGCCAAACGTCCCAAACCTCCATCATCACCTCATCTTCTTCCCGATTCCGATCACTTCACCATGGATGCTCTCTTATCCTCTTTCTTATCTCTCTCCGATTCCCCTTCAATCCACACCTCCTTCGACCGTCTCATCCAGTCTACCGATTCCGATTCCGATCAGAATCACTTGATCCAACGTGCTCTCCATCTCGGCTCTCTTCTCCTTGAAGCTGCAAATCGATCTGCTCGTAGATGCTCATCGTCTCATAACGCCGTCGTTTGGCCTCTCTCCCCTGACCTCACCATCAAGGTCAGTTTGTGATAACACTTCTGTTTTTAGAGTAATTTTGTTTAGTTCCAAATTTTATTCTAACAAGGTTTTGGCATATTATGGCTTTGCTTTGCTGTCTGACAAATTTATTGTGGTTTTTTTGAACCTCAGTCGGTTGTCTTGTATAATGTATAGAGTTTTTTTTTTTTATTTGGATTCTATTTTGATCTCTTTATGCAATTGGTTTCTTTTGATTTTCTGTATATGTTTTAATTAGGAGACGGAAGAAGGATATCATGAGTTCTGTTAAGTTCAGATGTTTCTGTGCAATTTTGTAGCATGGATGTTTCAGCCTTATCTCTTGTGCTATGCTATGGCTTGGCTTTCTTATCTGATTAATCTATTATTAATTTTTTTTCGTTTGTTTGTATGATTTGTAGGTTTCATGAGTTTTATCTAGTTCAGATGTTTCTATGCAATTTATGCCATCGAAGTTTCAGCCTTATCTCTTGTGCTATGCTAATATGCTATGGCTTGGCTTCCTTATTTGATTTTTTTTATTTTTTATTTTTTTCATTTTTTATTTTTTTTCATTTGTTTGTATGATGATTTGTAGGTTTTTTCGATGCTTGATACGCAAAGTGTGTGTTATGCTGCGGCTACGTGCTCGTTTTTTCAGAAGTGTGCTATGGATCCTTTGTGCTTTGCTAACATTGACTTGGCTACCTTGGTCCCAAAAGTCAATAATGCTGTGGTGTCTACTATGATTCATCGAGCTGGAGTTGCACTTAAGTAAGAACTTTTTTCTTTATGTGTGAGCATATATTGCTCTCTGTCTTTGCAATCTTGTCACTCTTTTAAAACTGTACATGATCCCAAATTGAATTGGATTCTAGTGGTAGGATATCTGGAGATGGCGTTTTCGTTGTAAGATTCTGCATCGATCTACTTTTGTTTTTCACGATTTAAATATGTTACTGTTCAATTTTAAACCTATATTTATGCTTTTAGTTTTTTACCTCCACAAAATTTGTTTTTGCTTTCTTTCTATCTAACCCAGATATTCTAAACAATTTTTATGCTGAAGGTGGACGTGTGTTTTGTGTCTTAAGAGGTTATTATATTATTGTTCAGTTGCATCCTAGGGGATATTAGGAAGATCACCTGAATCGACAAAAAAATTGTACTTGAATAGATGAGCCTAAAGTAAAAGAGTGACTGAAGGCCTGGCTAGCGGTATCCTGTAACCTAACCTTCCTAGAAGTCGAAGGTTCCGTCCTCAACAAAGGGGTGGAGCGTGTGTGAGTTTCCTTTCCGTATATAGATATTATATGCTTAAAACAGTAAAAGACTGCACAGATATACATGGTACCTTGGTTTTCAAACTGAATATCTATTCTATGGTCATGCATATGTGCCTGTCAAAATGAATAATTTATGACATCATACCAAGTTCAATGTCTACATTGATTGTAATGAAGACCACATCCTTGGGGTGGGGGGGTTGTTCTGAGGAGGGTTGGCTCCCCATGTGAGTGGTTGTTCAACTTAGAAAGATTGGACTGAGAACTTAGCATCTATGATCACCTTGGTGGACCTGGACTTGATAAGAAAAGTAGAATTCTCATGCTACAGCATTGTAACATTTTTAATTAACAGTGGTTTTATCATTGGAAGCTTCTATGTTTTCAATCTCAGGTGTTATCATAAGAGGTTCTGATTTTTATGGTTTCTGTCACGTTCAGGTCTATCAAACTTGGTGTATTGCCGCCCATTCCTGCTCCTCCTTTCTTTTCGTCTCAGCCATTAGTTTACAGCATTAGGAACTCTAACGATGCGTCAGGATTTTCGTGGAATGACAAGCGATCCAGGCAAGGAAGGGAGTCTTCCATTCTAACAAGGTCTTGCTTGAATTCTTTGAGTGGGAATGGTGGTGCACCTGGGTACGTCTTTATTTTAGAATGAGTCGAGTCAATACTGTTCATTGTCCTTTCTATTCTAAGGTTTTGTCTATTGTCTCTTGGTTGTAATTGGAAGGGCTCATTTGAGGAGATTGCACCTTTACAACATTGAAAGAATGGATAATACAGCCCTCTTGGCATCATTATCAGCTTGCCCTTCTCTCCTCGATCTAGAAATTGTGGGCCTGTAAGTCCTTTATTTCTTTTGTTGAAATCTTTGACTCGGGTACTATGCCTCATCAATGGAACTTCTGAAATGACAGTGCTACAGATGTTAGCTTCTGTGGCATGTAGGTGCATCAAATTTTGTATCCATCTTTCTATGCAGTTTCTTTCTTTGTGCTCAAAGWGATCCATATGCGCTATGTGACATGTGGCTGTCATACTAATTTATGTCATAGGTTGGGACACGTAGAGAAGGAAGTAAAGGCTGGTTCTTAATGAAGACTGTTTTTTATTGTATTCTGTTGTAGGAAGATAACTGTAGAAGGCATCTTCCAATGTATGAAGAGGGGGAATTTGGCAGAAATATATTGCAATGGCAACTTGACTCCATTCTATATTGAAATATTTTGAGTTCCAAGTGTTGATTCCATCCTTCATAATTGTAGGAAAAAGGTTCTATTTTCCAGTTGCATTACAAGATATACAAATGAGAACTTATGGACTGGCATGATTCACTCAATTGAATGCATAGGATAGTTGATACTTCTAGTTATTCAGCCTAGTAGCGGTTCCTTTTCATATCCTTAAAGCAACTATACTCGCTCGTTAGCCTGTCTGGCTCTTGACCTGCTTCACAAATGATTATGGTTTTTCTTGTTCCTCATTGCAGTGCATTCAAGCAAGCTCATGCTGTCTTTTATGTTTTCATTCTTCTTCCTTTTTCTCTGTAATGTGAGCTTCTATTTTCCAAGTACTAAGGAACTCTGTTATGATAGGCATGTTGAGTTGAGGCATACGTTGGAGTCGGTAAGTAAACATTGCCCCTTGATAGAACGTTTGGTTTTCGAATCTTCAAAAACAGGTATGTACCTCTTAAAAGTGGTATTTCATTTTCACGCTTGACATTTAAAATAATGTAGGATAACTTATATGCAGGTAGAGATGATGGTTTGAAATACCCCACCTGCAATGAGTTCGTTCTCAACTGTCCTAACATAACTACTTTGGCGCTAAAAGGATTCAAGTTGCATGACTACAAGGCTCGTATGCTGGTGAAGGTTCGTCTCTGGAACTTCCCGCTTTTCATTATGACATGGTTTGCATATTTTCATGAGATACTCTTGAGTTATAGAACTTGATCAACTAAATGTCAAATGTCAGATTAGATAATATGCTAGGGCAGAATGCAGATTAGAGATCACAGGCTTTTGTTTCATTAGTGAATTAATTATGTTCCTAATCTATTTTGGTGCCTGATTTGTTTATTTCCCTAACTAGTAATATAAGTAGCACCAACATTTAGATGTATTGGCCTTTGTATTCAGAGGAGCACATACAAGCACAAGTATTTAAGATTTAACAATATGAAGTAGAACCATAAATATTTTGAGAACCTGAAAACCAACTATTTCATGTATCATTCATGATGAATAACTTTGAATAATCATTAATATCATTCATTTTCGTTAGTCATATAATTTATTTTCGTTGTGAATATGATAGTCATTTTCGTTATGAATACCTATCATGGCATTCATCATGAATAAAATATGAATAGTTGGTCCACAAGCTCTCAAAATATTTATGGTTTTCATTACCCCTAGGCCCTAGCAATATAAACAACTAAATGATGCATTACACTACATCTTCATTCAATAGTTCTCCTACTGATAAATAATGTGAGTTTGACCTATTGCTTCCAGTTGTGATCTATTAGTCTATTTTTCAGGGGTTGCGCAAATTGAAACATATTGACCTGTCAACATCTTATTCGTTCACCGGTGCCTTTTTAAAGTAAGTGACCCATAAGTCATGACCGTCWAAACTCCAACTACTGAACTGTGTTGATCCTTGGCTGCAATCCTAACTTCAAATTTGAAATTATAGGAACCTTAGTGCCAATGGAGGTGGAGATCATTTGGAGGTGATGATGTTACGAGACTGTATGCATCTCAAAGAAGTATGGAACTGTGCCTTAATCCCTTCTTTTTTTAAGTATATAAGTTCAATATACGGCAAATACTAACACACACTCCTCACATTTGGTGGGTTTGGACCCTTGACTTCCCAGGTGGCTGGGCTCTACCAATAACCTAGGTATTGCTTGGCCAATGAGTCTTTTCCCTTCCCTTTCCTTCTTGACTCGTTTAGAGCATCTCCAACAAATTCTCTAAAATAGAGGAAATGGAGATTTGTAGGATTTTGGGCAAATTTTTTCCTCCAACAGATTCTTCAGGATGGTGAAAGTAGGAGAGAGATAAATAATTATTTTATTGTATTCTCACCGGTAAAGAACATTAAATATAAATGTGTAGAAGAGAAATAATTTTTTAATTAAATGTATAGAATATTCTGATACTCCCTTCATCCCAAAAATAAGTGTCCACATTTTTAGTTTAGTTTGTCCCAAAGTAAGTGTCTGTCTAACTTTCAAAAGTAGTTGTCCATGACGAAAGATTATGTGAGAATAGGAGTTAAGGAGAGAAGTGTACGAAGGGTCCAGACCCTTGGTCACTTTTAATGTCACCTCCATCCCATGAATTGTGCTTCTCATGGGAATTGATCGGTGCATAACTTCAATTCTCACCGGAATCCAACCCATAATTATATATTATTAGAACTATGTGTCATTTTCGTTGTAGACATTTATTTTGGGACGAAGGGAGTAATGTAATTAATGTTGTAATCTCCAAGATAGGGAAGTTGGTGTTGAATGTAGTTTTTTTTTCCCGAGATTTTGAATTTTGATCCTCCATTTTGGAGAATTTGTTGGAAATGCACTTACTCTCTACTATCTAATGATGGTTGGCAGATTGAAGTTGAGCTGTTTATGGCAGCTGTTCTTGCAGGGGAATTCAGACTCCTAAGACATCTTGTAAAAATTTACACTCTCTCGAGAYAGTCGCTATTTTTCTATGATCTGCTCTAGAATTTTTAAGCATTACTACCAATTACACCTTCAGTTTTTACAAAATCCTTATAATAGACCACTGTTTGAAATCTCGTCGTTTCTAACAGGACATATCTAACCGGGAAGGTCTAGCATGTGGAGGTGACTGGTATAACAGATGTTACAGTGCAAGGTATGGTGGTCTATCCTCACCGTTCCTATCTTTTTGAACATCCTGTTACACATGTACTGAGAATATAGAACTTGACGAGTATATATAAAATAAAATACCATATATTATATTATAGTCCCTTACAGATTAAACAACTAAAAAGTTCTAAATGACGTAGTAACATATGGAATTCACCTAAACATAATCATTCCCGAAAGTGGAAATTGGGAATAGGCAAATCGGCTAGAAGATATAAGCCTAAAACATTATAATCGTGCTAAAGGTTAAAACATATTAATTTGGTAAAGGTTAAAACACGTATAGTTAGAGGATCTCCAACAGATTTTCTACAATTTCTTTAAATTAGAAAAAAAGTCAAACTTTGTAAATGTTTTTTCCAACTACATTCATATCCAGGAGATTGGAGATTTCAACATTAATTATATTATCAAGAGTAACTTATATTTTTTGTTCCTGTGTTTTGTTAAAAAGTGCTATTTTCATCCCTATGCTTTTGAAATTACAATTTTCATCCTTATGGTTTATAACTTATTTCTGTTTTAGTCCCTGTGGTTTACAATGCTTTGTTGTTTTAGTCCTTGTGGTTTACAATGCTTTGTTGTTTTAGTCCCTCATACTTAATGATAGGTGTTAGGCTTAGGGACGAAAATAGTAATGAATAACAAACCATAGAGACTAAAACCGCATTTTGAAGCCACAGGGACGATCGCACTTTTTGACGAACCACAACAATGAAAAATGTAATTTACTCTATTATTAAAATATTTTATAATTTTATCATCTTAAAACACTTCTAATTTTTTTATAAAATAATAATAATTGAATTTCAGGAACGAGGAAGAAAATTATCTCTCCTCTCACCAATTCTTAGAGAATTCTTTATTTTTGAGAATAATACAGAGAATCTGGTGGAGTAAAGTAGAGAACCATATCTCAAATTTCTCTATTTTATAGAGTATGTTGTGGATAGTTCTTAGGGCCTGTCTGTTAGCAGCTTAATGAGCTTAATGGGACTCGCAACTTATTCGGTCAGCTATACAGCTATACATGACTGTTTGGTAGTGGCTTAATGATATAGAATAAGAGTATCATTTTCAAATGATTTCTCATGAAAAAAAATTCATTCGCTCTGCTCGACACCGGGATCATGCCATGTCTTTTGTTCATATTCCTTGCTTATTCAGTAAGCTTTTAGGAGGATCTTTATGCAAAAAGTTTTTTCCAAACATGTCCCTCCAAATTAAAAAAAAAAACATGCTCCTTCCATTTATTGAAAAAACCGTTGCAAACAAAAACCATTCTCATCTATACAGACAAATTAATCCACACAGACAACTTTCTCCATCCATGGAAAACCAACCTAACAATTTCATATCTCACACCATGTGTTATGCAGTTTCATTCATATCTCACACCATGTGTTATGCAGTTTCATTCATATCTCACACCATGTGTTACGCAGTTTCATTCATATCTCACACCATGTGTTATGCAGTTTCATTCCTATAAAGGAACTATTGGAGCAGAGGCCGGATTTCTGCCTCGTGGCAGAGTTCCCAAAAGGAAGGTAGGTACACTACTTTGTGAATCATAGAGAACGGCTGATTCGGCTCAAACCCCTAAACCTAACCTTTTTTCTTTATTATAACGTTTGCAGTTACTTTGACGTTGAACAATTGACGGAGAGCGATGTGAGTTTGAGTTTATCATCAGGGTCGCACTCAAGCAGCCATACGGCTTATCATTCAGTTTTCATGAACACATCAGATGGCAGTTATAATAGTGATCATGGTAGTGGTAATGAGGACAGTATAGAAAGCAGCTTTATAATTTACGAAGAGAATTCAGATTAGGTCCTCCGCTTTCTTTCCGTTTCTCCAACGAGCAACGATGTAGAATATCCTAGTTAATAACCAGGTATGTCTCTCTCCCCCGAGACTGGGCGTAGCCGGGTGAGAGAATTGTGCAAAGTTGTAGGGTTTTAATCTTAGGAATTTGTCGAAGCTTGTCCTTTCTCTCTGATTTTGTTCCACCTATTTTAGCAGGACAAATAAAATGCATTTTTTGTCCCATTCTGGGGTAGTTTACCAAATACTTACCAGGTAAGTGCTTATTGGGTGTCACTTTACCTTACCAGGTGAACATGGCAAGGACCAAAGCAATGACCAAAACTACCCGGTATGTGTTGGAGATGATTCTTACCCGGTTGGTGCTTATTAGGTAAGAGGTGCTTACCAACAAGCACCTGGAAGGAGTCATTTACCAAACGCTTTTCGGATAAGTGCTTATCAGCAAGAGATATCACTCACTTTACCGACAAACACCTGTAAGTGGTCGTTTACCAAACGCTCATCGGATAAGTGCTTATGAGCAAGAGATATCACTCACTTACCTTATTGTAAGTGTTTACAAGGCAGGAGCTGTTTTCCTCACTTGTTGTGTAAGACTCTTGGTTCTTACCATACCTCTTATGGAGTAAGCTTATTGGCGTTTGCCATGTTCAATCAGTAAGATAAGTGATATCAGTAGGTGTTTACCAAGCGATGCCCAAGTTTTCTAGAACCTGATGCTTACTTTATTTCGTATGGGTTGAAACCGAATTCGACCCAAGTCAGCCTTGTTTCTTTTTCCCATTTTATACGGATCAAATCATCCAACAATGGACACCTATGCGAAGTGCGTATTTTCTCCAACATTTGTAGCCACGAATGAGAAACCAAATAGGGTTCATATGTGTATACTCTCCACCTGTTGGTAAACATTCAAGAATTAAATACTCTCCACCTGTTGGTAAACATTCAAGAATTAAATACTCTCCACTTGTTGGTAAACATTCAAGAATTAAGTCATACGACTTGATACTCCAGAATTTCCGACTCCTTTTAATTGATTTAAAGTTGACGATTAAAGAGAACGAAGGCGATGTAAAAAATGGAAGGTAGTAATAGGGTATCATAAATCTCTAAATACAATTACATTTAGAGAAATTAATTAAAATAGTCATTTTTAATTTGTGGTTTCTATTTCTTAGCTATTTTTCTTCGAAAACCATCAAAATGTCGCTAGCTCTATAATTTGCGGAGGGATAAAAGTGTAAAAAAAGGAAGTTTTTGAACCAAATATGTAAAATAGATATATGTACGCAAGTTATCATTGCGGAGGTGTTGAGACTAATCTAAAGATTTGGTACGTGCATTTTGCGGACTTCGTTCAGGAACTTTCTTTTGTTTATACTTTGACTCCTTCGTAAATTGTGGACCAGCCACTTGTGAATCTAAGATATAAAATCAACATCTGAAAATGACTATTGAAATTTATTTTTCTTACATTTAACTCTTAATGGATTATCTATTTTAGAGATATTAATATTTATTATATTATTAAAATACTTTATAATTTATAACTTTTTTAAAAAGAGTTTTTATAAATAATAATTCAATCTTAATGATAGGATGAATAAAAAATTAATTTTTTTATTATATATTAAGTTTTAATGAATTTTTTAAATTTAAAGGTTTTTTTTTGTTTTTTTATTTTTTTTAGAGAATAATATAAAGAATTTATTGAATGTAAAGACTGAAGCTGGGTCAAAAATTGTCGAAGAAGCCGTCAAGACGTGGTCCAGTTATATTAAGAAATCACATGTCTAAAGTTTACGAGTGCAGAAAGAATAAGCCGCTGAATAAATTAAGGAAAGAAATCAAAAGTTTGGTTATAAACGTGGGAGGAAAATCAAATAAAAATTGAAAATGTTTAGAGAATATTATTAAAATTATCTAATCATTTGAAAGGGTATATCTATAGAGGGAAGTTAATAGGAAAATCAGTAAAAAAATAAAAAAACTGAGGAACAATTTGGTAACAATTTATCGATACGGTATGTAGATATGCATATAAGTAATTGAAGCAGTTTCTTGGTTTTTATGCACGTACATGTTATGCATATTTGTATACCGGATAAATTGCTTACAAATTATTTTTATGAACATATGCATACCGTCTAGATGAAATGTTACGAGGGTGTTCATTAAATTTTAATTTTTTCTATGGTTTTCTCTTGAACTTGACCTTATATTTTGACTGTATCATTTGCGAACGTACAAACTTCAACCCCAAAAGTTGTATCCTTGTATAACTCGGCTCGAAAAAAATTATTTGAGTTTTCGGAGTCGAGTCAAATACCAATCTTATAGAGTTCAAATCATCAACATCAAATAGAGTATAAAATGAAATTAAAATAAAAAAACAATTATCAAACTACCAACACTTCAAAAAGGAAGTAGGGATTTTCTGTTACTGAAATTAATACATACAAGTTGGTCTGAACACCGACAATTGAAATTAAAAAAACACACTTCAAAGAAGAAGAGAAAATACGAGAGTATACAAGTGATTTTTGTCCTTGTGGTTTGCTGTGCTGTTTATCGTTATTTTCGTCACCGAGTCAATTAAATACAAGTGATGAAAATAGAAATAAAATAATAAACTACATGGACAAAAAACGAGCTACAAAATAATAAATCATATAGACGAAAACAACAACGAATTATAAACTACAAGGATGAAAACCGTAATTCCGAAAACACAAGGACTAAAAATGGCAATTTCAGCAAACCACAAGGACCGTCCCTATTCATTTTTCCAAACATACAACACCAAAGAAAACCCCAAACCCTGCGATTGAACACAATCTTTGATCAACGAATTCGACCAATTAATCGCAGATCCCCACAATTTCTCAGCCGAAAGACAAGTTTGAAACATGAACACTCCATTTCCCCCAATTAATCTACCRAAAAACCAACTATAAACATCCCAATAAACTTCAACCGGCAATCCATCCACCAAAATCGTATAATTTCCCCTAAATTTCCATCGAAGTTGCTTCACTTGCATCACTGTTTTCCCATCGACTCGAATCAATAGAAATGGATCATTGGTGTTAATTGTATCACATTCAATCAAGATGTCATGAATTTGACCCTTCCCACAAAACTGAGCAGTTGTTGCATACGATTTCTTCCCAAATATGTGTTCTTTTTTCGAAATGAAAATGGGGTTTGGGGAGGATGATGAATTGAAGCCATTGTTGTTCATCTTTTTGTGTACTTCTTTCTCCATATCACCCAATAGTAAGATGAGTTCTCGGTTTACAGTAATGGCGAAATAGAAAGCTTCAACTGGTTCAGGGGAAGAACCGAATTTGGCTGATGAAAGATCCCAGAAAAAGTCGATTGAATTGGAACCCATTTCGAGGTTTCGATACCCTCTTTTTTTSGAGAACAACCATGGTTTGATTTCGAGTTTACACAGAGAGTGGTTTGTGGGATTGTTGATTTCAACAGAAAGATTCTGACCCATTAAGGTTTTGGCCCAAGTTACAGTGACAATGAAGCTGGATGAGCTGCGTAGTTTACACTGATAAACACAAGTGACAAGATTTTGGGCGGTGGCGGTGGCAGTGGCAGGTGGTGGTGGAGGAGGACCAGATGAAGAAGCATCAGAAACTTGAACACCATTTTCACCAAAACAAGATGGGAAATCCCTCATTTTTATATGCTCTCAAACCAACAATTCCACAACTGGGTAGTGAAAACTTTGGGGGGTATTTTAGGAAAACAACAAAAAAGAAGGAATCGTAGGCAAATTCTGAAGGGTACCCGAAAWTTTCTTACAAAAAGGGTCTAAGATTTCTTGAATGATATGTGCATGAAGCTTAAACTGGTAAAAGTACCAAGATTTCTTGATCTTTTTATACCCAGAAAACTGGCTTAATTTTGGGAAAACAACAAAAAAGGAGGAATTGTAGGCAAATTCTGAAGGATACCTTGAAAATTTCTCACAAAAGATTCAAGATGCTTGGATGATATGTGCATGAAGCTTAAACTGRTGAAAGTATCAAGATTTCATTGATCCTTTTGTACCCAGAAAACTGGCTTATGGAAGGGCAAAAATTTTGGGGGTTATTTTGGGAAAACAACAAAAAAGGAGGAATTGTAGGCAATTCTGAAGGGTACCCTTAAGATTTCTTACAAAAGGGTCAAGATTTCTTGAATGATGTATGCATGAAGCTTAAACTGGTAAAAGTACCAAGATTTCTTGGCCTTTTTGTACCCAGAGAACAGGCTCACAGAAGGGCCAAGATTATAGGTACATAAATAAATTGGCTTAGATTTTTTGAACCCAGAAAACTGGCGTACAGAAGGGTGAAGATTATAGGGTACATGAAGGGCAAATTGGTAAAATAGGAAAGAATTGTTGTACCCAGAAAACAGGGTTACAGAAGGGAAAGATTATAGCATGGAGTTTAAATTGGTAAAGTGGCAAAGGTTTGTTGATGGTTTGAAGAGGAAGCTTGAATGGGTGGGGGGRAAAAGATAAGAGGTTTGTTCCGCTCTCACACAGTGACACACATAGTGAAGGTGAGGGACAKAATTGGAATGAGTGTGGCCTTTCATGCTTTTATGATTGAACCTCCTTTTTTGGGCACAATAAATGGTGTTTTTATCAACGAGATCTTTGCTTAGGAATGTAAGCAACAATAATGAAAGCATGTTGCTAAAAAATTTAAAAAGAGGAATATATATATATATATATATATATATATATATATATATACTAGTGGTCTATCCGCGCAATGCGGCGGGAGCCATGAATTTTAATGATTTTGAAGTTTCACTGGTTTTATAAGATAAGATTTAACGATAATATAGGTTACACTTGGTCTTTACATATTAATACAATTTGAATAAATAAGAGTTATGGTTCCAATTACAGACTATCGATGAAAAAAATTGTATGACAGTTTAAAATCCAATGTATTTAAAATTCCAACATATTTAAACGACTACACAAATATATTCGATTTACACCAAGAAAGAACCAAGAAACTTGAGTTTTAAGATAAACACTCAAAACCAATAAAAAAACTACAAATTTGGCAGATCATAAGCCATGAAAAGACAAAAAAAAATGGGTTTTAGAATGAAATTTCAACTACTTACTCTCTTTCTTGTCCATAAAATCAGATGAAGGTTGAATATATATATATATATATATATATATATATTTCAAAAAAACCCAACATATTAATTCAAAACATATCATACAATGCAATTTAGACAGCCTAACCCCAAAATATATAGTATATATATAAATAAATAACTATAAAAGTATAAATCGTAAATATTAAAAATATTTTTTCACAATATATATAATATATAATAATATAATTAAGTCAAAAACTATTCAATATTGGACTCATTTCGAATGTATTAATGAAGACGATTATAACGGTGTAACTTGTTAAAATAAAAATATATGTTTTAAACATGTTTTAGTTGATATACGATTATGTATGTTAATTTGATAAATGTTTAAAATAAAACATTTAAAAGTAAATGACATAAAGTAAATTAATTAATTAATTATAGGGGTATAAAATGTAAATTTAAAATTATAATTTTAAAAAAATTGGTTGTAAGAGGGTGAGTGTATGTGAGGAGATAAGGGGTGAAAAAGTGAAAAAAGTGAGTATAAAGGGTATTTTGGTCCTTTAATATTTTAAGACTTTTGCTAAATTTGTTTAATATATATTATTTATTCACGAAAGACTTGTTTTTGATTTAGTTTTATTTATAATGGAATAAATCATATAATTTTCTTATGAACAAAAAAAAAAAGGAATCAGATATATTACATAAATACAATGTCTTTTATAGTAATATACTCGAAGGATATTTAAAGACCACTAATATCTTTTTAACTAAAAAACATGATTTTTTTTAACAACAATATTTGTCTTATTTTATTTACTTTTTCGTCATTTATTTATTTTAAACGTAAAGCTTCTAAGTCACATAGTTTAAGTTATAACAGAAAAAACGTTACTTCTTTAGTTAGGTTTATCGGAATTTAATAAATTTATTCTCAACTCTCATTAGATGTAATTTATTAAAGTCAATATATAATATATTGCTTGCTTTTGATCCAAGCGATACACATCTTCAAGTTAAATGATTACAGGTTCGAGACTTATTTCTTACACAAATATTTGAATTTTATCGGTATATGAAATAAGTAAACCATTTTTTGTAATGAGTAACAACACGAAATCTTCGAACCCAAATTTTTTATTATCTTATTAAGATACCCAAATTATGTTTCTCACTTTATACCCAATTTTGTTATAAAGATACCCCACCCAAAGAGTGAATGATGTGAGGATGCATATACATATATGTATTGCATTTACAAACTCAATCATTTATATAAACTAACTATGCAAAACAATATCAATCGTCCATCTAATCTAATCAATATCTGATTCAAATGAATATTTCAACTGTTTCCTAATATAAAACATAATAATCTTTTATAAATATCAAAATCATATAAATAAACACTGCATCATTTTTATAAACATCTCAAGTGACTTGGAATCATGTTAGACCAACTTTTTACACTTGAAACTTTAAAGTAAAAAACCTGTGAAGGTAACCTTCATAGTGTTTTTGCTGTGAAGATTCGGAGTTTTTTTTACCTTCACAACATTTTACTGTGAAATTTCAAATATAAAATTATGGTCTCACGAAAACAGATTGGTCTGATGTAAAACCAATCTTATATAAGTATATAATAAATAGATACAAAATTGTACATATGAGACAATTTCTGATCCTTTCTTAAATAGCTGGTATTCTTAGGTGACAGTTTTTGGTGTTTTATGCATTTATTTATTTGTTTTGGCATCACATGATCCTATCTTACAAAAATTGGCACCAATAATTCAAATAGCAAAAGAAAATTGAATTATATCAAACCAATACCAGTATTTAACTTGTTCATGTCTACTCTAACTTCTAATACATTTATTTTGAGTTATATCCTAAATCCACTCATATATAATTATCAGGACTTCCTTTTGAAGAGGATACAAATCATGACATCTACAAAAATCATGTGCCTATTTTACATGATATTTTTCCATCTATGGTTCAAATTTGATGTAGTGATTAACATATATATGTTTTACAATATGTTCGTTTCACATTTTTGACGTGTTTGTGAAACAAAAAGTACACATAAAAAAGTTTTACATTGTGAACAGGGTACATATGAAACAAATATATGTTAATCAATACATTAAATACTATACCTGGATGAAAAAAAATGATATAAAACAAAACCTTAAAGTAGAAGTTCTCACATAATTTACGGATTAAGCCAGATTTGCAGACATACATATACTTTGAAAGCTACAATCCTAYGAGACAAAACAAACTGCAACAGGAGACAGCACTTTCTTTTTCTACAAGCTTTATATGACTCACTGCTTAATGGACAACATCATGCAAACACGTTA